AGTATTTATTTTAATATTTAATTATATTATATTGCAGTTTGCAGTAAATTGCATTATTGAATATACGGAACTGCATATTGCAGTTGGTTTAGATGCTGTAAAACCTCAGTTGGTATTTGTGATATCCCGTTCCTAGATTAATATTCAATTCTTAAATTAATCAAGTAAAAGACAATTTCACCCCGAGAGTATTTTAATGAGTTCAAAATTAACTTTTTGTTTGGGGAATTGAGCTGGACTGTTGTGTCGGGCGCGTCAATACGAGTTTCGATATGATGTGAGCACAAATAAGAGTTTTAACGAAGAAATTATGATCAATGGAAGTGCAATGACACAATCGTAAATTTGTTTAAAAAATCTGTCTCTGTCTCTCTTTGGCGAGGACACCGCCGCTTTTGATGGCGATTCTAGTGCTGTCCGGCCACCAAACTCGACGCCGTAATTTGCAAAACGCTCCTCTCCACCTCCTCTACACGACCCACTAAATTTCTAGACCCGATTTCTAGCTGTGAAGCCACTGGAACGAGAGGAAAAATCACGGCTTTTTCGTCCACGTTTCTAGCGATTTCGGCAACGAAATCCAGTGAGGAAGGTATGCTTCTTTATACATTTTTCGTGTTCTAGCTATTTTGATAGTTGGTTTGGATCGATTTGGACTCGTGAGTGTTCGATTAGAAACCTAGATTTTGTCCGACTTTGGCAGCGTTTTTCGACCACTTCCCAGCCAAATTGGAGGTCGGCCCAGTTATAAAAGTTACTCACATAGTTGCCATGATCACGTAGGTATAAATATTGTTGGGTGATTTGAGAAATTTCCATCGCCGGAAATTTCTCAAGCCACCCACACGCTGCCGGCGCTTGTGACAGTGCTTGGGCCGAGGTTGGGTGGCCCATTTGATCCTAAAATGTTCCCCATGTCGTGCCGAGCACCACGATATGCTAGGATTAGAATTTGGTTATCGTTTGACGCTTAAACAAATTTACGCATATTAGGCGTTATCCGGGTTTAATATGTTCAGACCATCGGATTTTGACGAAACTTATAGGATATGTTAATTGGATTTTTATGAACCTATAAGAACTTTCAGATTATTCTCGGACCGTGAGGAGCAAGGAATGCGACTCGGGTTAACTTTGTGTTTTCGAGTTCTGCAAGGAGATGTCGCTTATGTGACAATTGACGGATTTATGAAGGCTACACCAAGGTACAAAGGAATTATTATTTTTCAATGCTTTCAAATGATTTTGATGAATTGGTTGAATGTATGAACGGTTATATGAATATAAATATGCATGCTTGATTTTTGTACGAATATAGAACATGGATTAAATGAATTTTCAAATAGTTTTTAACAGTGGAGTTAGTATGTTGATATTATATTTTGCAAAACTTTCTTTTGTCCACTCACGCTTTTAATGTTTTGCGCCCCCAGGCAGTAATCGAGTACTGGAGTACCACCATCGGGCATTCATCACCTACCACTCATCCACTTCCATTATGTAGGATATCCTTCTGTAACTGTACTATTTTTGTAAAATAAATCAATTAGTAGGCTTTGATATTGCCCTAAAATTTTTGTAAGGCCTGAGGCCACACATATTTGCTATTGGATTGTGTGTGCTCTAACATTGCGCATGTTGAACGCTTGTGGATATAAGAAATGCATGTTGTACAGGTATAAATTATTAGGAAACTAGCAATTTACAGGGGAGACTCTGCCGATTTTTCGATAGAAGTCAAACCTTAACCCTCCGTTTGGATGAGGGAAAATAACTCGGAATTTGGCTAAAAGTCGGGAATTTAAGAGGAGAAATTGACAATTCTCATGTTTGGCAACTTAAGCGCAGAATTTATTAAATGACGCGCGGAAAAAATCATGGAAATTGAGGCATCAAATTCCCGAGTTTAATTTCCACCAAAATAGATGTCATTTCACAATTTCCACAGTGCGGGAATTCATATTTTCCAGTGTGCCAAAACTTAAAATAAAATATTTATATAAAAAAAAGCCAAACTTTTCATGGAAAAAAAAAGCGCCAAACTTAAAAACAGCGCCAAAAACCTATGAAACCCTGGACAACATATTGCCTTGTCGCTTTATAAACAAAAGCTGCGAGCCAGAGAAGTACTGCAAGCTAGAGAAGTAAGGAGAATCATAAAAAGTTGCGAACCAGAGAAGTAAGGAGAAGGAGTTCTTCTTGGGTAACACATCTCTCTGGATCAAGTTTGAAGGTTAGTCTTCAAGCCTTTCTCTCCTTCTATTAATATTTTTCTAGTTTAGGGTTATCATGGTTTCTAAATGGCTATCAAAATTGGGTATTTCTAACTAAAATTATGAATGTGTTGAATGGGTTTTGTGATCTTTGTGGCACTATGGCTGGGTTTTGGGAAATCTTAACAAAATAGTCTATGCCCATGGATATTTGTGTGTGATTTGTGTTTATGGTACAGCTCTGTAGTAGTTTGTTAGCTTTATCACTTTGTGTTATTGCCTTGCTCTGTAGTTGTTTGTTAGATTTATTAATCAATGGAGCATAAGCAGGAGTCCTGCACTCAATATCTTGCCATTTAGCATTGGGTGTTTACACAGCTATGTAGGATAACTTCAACTGTTGGCGTAAGTCCTTGATTTCTACCCCCGGAGCCAGTTCCACATAGATAGTTGATTGCATACCACAGCTCTAAAAGACAAAAGTAAAATAATGCTTAGTCTATTAGCAAAAAGTCAATTGTAAAATATGGAATCTCTAATTGCATATGAGAATAATAGTTACCATTGGCATTGGATGTGGAGTAAAACTAACAGTTACTTTTGAATTTGCAGCATCAGATAGTCCCTGCTTAATTTCTAATTTCAAAGATAAAATCCAGGTCACTGTTAGGTAATCAAATCAAATAAAAAACACACATGGTGTCTACTGTTTATGTAACTTCATATAATTAAGTATCCAGAATATGGAGATACACCATTTTCTGGAGTGTAGACCTTCAATATGAACATCAACTAGATCAACAAGTAAATTCCAGAATTATGTCATCTAAGAGAGACCACTCAGTCCATTCAATGAAGGAACACATTTAACCCCCACTTATCTAGACGCCAGTAAAAAGGCAATACTATAGTTCCTAACCTTCATGTTCCTCACCAATATAAAACTTACAAGAATCTGAATTTGAAAGGTGTAGCAAATAAGCAATATAATACTTCGAGGAATACCTTCTATGTCGGTTATCAGTTTTTTTGTTCTTTCGAAATATTTAATTTCTGTCATTTATAATTTACTTGAGTTATCCAAACATTGAAATTTTCAATTTCTGTCATTTACAAAATTCCACATATATAAATCCAAACACTGAAATCTTCAATTGCCAGAAATTGAAATGACGGAAATCTAAATTCCGTCATTTTAGAATTCCATGTAATTTGCAATTCCTTCATCCAAACAGAGCATAAAAGAATTTTGGAGTTTTAGTTTAAAGGGCAATTTGATCAAATGTGCTCAGCACCTGACAGGTGTTAGATAAGCACAGGATTCGATGCGGATTCTAAAATGGAATTTGGGTCCTGTTAGTATTTGTGATTTTTCAGTTTTTTGATCTAAAATGCTAGCCCTACAATTCATCTTTGGGTTTGCATCGATTGGTTTGATGTCTTCCCTATTGGTTCGGCTCCTATTTAAGATGATGATATAGTAGGCTGGGCCTTGGCCCGAACTTATTATAAGGTTTGGAGGAGTCGTGAGTCTAAGTTAGTCAAGGCCATGCACTTCACTGGGCCTGCAAACTAAAACCTTAACATTGGATTTTTTTGATATTGGTAAGCTCGTTTTTAGAAGCCCAGTATCCCTTAAATGGAGAAAATTAAACCTGGCTTTGTTGAGCCCAGCATGGAGCTAGGCCTTTCTTGAGTTCAGAAAGCCCCGGTAATGAAGGTTCTTGGAAGAGTGGCCCAAATTAATCTTTGGTTGAGCGTGGGCCACCAGAGTCAGACAAATGGCAATGTGCCCAGATTATATGGGATAAAAAATTAGTTCATTTTGGAAAAATCTGAAGCATTAAAAGAAAATTGATCCCCAACGTTTTTTCATCTTCGCTATATGTTGATGACAATCCAACCAAGAATTGAGAAGAAACTGAGGTATGCCAGTATCCATTAAAGATTCTGTCTTTAATTTTCTAACATGTGGTATTGAGGACTTTCTGTTGTTTCAACTTGTAGGATCAGAGTATTTCTGTGAACCCTCTTACTTTTTTTTTCTTTTTAGGTGCCAAAGCTTGGCATTCATGTGCATGTACAACCTAATTGGGAGAGTTGATAATAAGAATTTGATTGCTTCTACTGGTTTCATATATATATATATATATATATATATATTCTTTAGATTGTGAGAGACCATACCTTCCTTATCTTTTTCTCTTTTCAAAGCAGAAAAAGACATACCCTTGAGAATGTAGAGCATGATAAATTTGTGGGGTACCCTATAAAGATGTGTTTGATAGGGTACCATGTCTCATGATTCAATGCAACTGCACATTGAAAAAAAAATGAAAAAAAAGAAGAGAGCGGAAGAGATATATACAGAAGGGAAATGAAAGCTATAATGCTCTCTATCTTATGGATGATGATGATGACCATGACGGGTTTTTACAAGTAAGTGGTTGGAGCATTATCAAAAAGTGATGGAGATGTAGTTGGGTGGGACGTTAATGGATTTGATTATCACACCCGTGAGAGAGAGAGAGAGAGAGAGAGAGAGAGAGAGATAGAAAAAGAAAGAGAAAAAGAAACAGACAATAAAGAAATTGCATGCCCTGCCCATCAATGTTTTAAATTTACCCATCATCTTTTGTTATCTTTAAATTATCTCGTCTCTCTTTCTTTCTATCTATCTATCTTAAAAGGAAGTGTTTGAACAATTTTTTGCTTTGCTTGTTCTTCTGAATCTGCTCCTTCTCATCATCCCCATATATTATATTAAGGTGTTGAGTTTAGATTGCAATGGAGAGTGATGAACAAGTAAGCAAGAAGGACATAAAGGTGGAGATTCCAGCAGATGAGACTGAGAAGTACGTGTGTGCCGGGCTCTCAAGACAGCTGAGCATGACGAAGAACAATTGCCTCTGCTCCCCCACCACGCATGCAGGCTCATTCAGGTGCAGGCTGCACCGTGCCCCGAGCCTCCAGCGGACTAAAAGCATGGACTGTCGTGGCCCAGCGTCTAAGGCAGGCTAAATACTAAATACTACCACTGCTACTGCTGCTGCTGCTATGTACAACCAAAGCTCAGTAATTTCTAAAGAAAAATAAGTGCGAATTGTTGCTTATATATATATATATACATATATGTATTTATTATGGCTCTTTGCTGAAGTTTGGAGTTTTCACATTCTCCTTGTATTCTGCTCTTTGTAACCATTGTTTTTGTATTTAGAGAATTAAAGCATGGCGTTTTATCAAGTGTCTTATAATTTATAAAAAATTATTGATTTCGACAAGCCTTTTGCTTACTGGTTCTGTGATTTCTGCAACAACTACGCTAGCATCAGTAATAATATGGAAGTGTTTCATACTGCACTAAATCTGGCTGAAACAGAGCCAACTTAGTCTAGTTCAAGCAGCATCTTCAAGGCGCCATAGCCCTACAAAACCATAATTTGAATGAAGACATCTGAAATTTTTTTTACCTTGTTCAGTTGGAATCAAACCAATAAATAGTTCATGTTGCCCACAAATGGTATGCGTCTCATTTACATACTTGCAGCTGTGTGTGTTAAAACATTTTTCTATGCAATTTATAATTGCTATAATGTATTATCAAATTTTTTTCATCAAGATGGACATCCCAGAGGAGAACTTTTAACAGGAGTTGGATAATGGGCACATGGAATAACCAGAATATCTGAATGATGGTTACAAATAAAATTTAAACAGAATAACAAGAAGCAGTTGCTTCCAAACAATTCTGGAGACTGGGTGGGGGAAACAATGATGATCATGAAGACCACAATGATGTCAAAAGGACAGAGCAAACATCATCACCACAATTATGCAGCACCAGATCCAATGCTACACATAAACCATGAAAAAAAAAAATTGAGACTACTTCTGTAGTCTCTACTAATTTCCCCAAACAGTTGGATGTCTGTTTCAGCATGCAAAGTTTGATCTCAATGATACATGTGTATGCCTGCCTAGGCAAGCAGGCAGTATTTCCAACAATAGCAAAGCCATTCATGTTGCCGCTAATCATTTTTGGATGACACAAATTTCAACACAAGAATCAAAGTCACCTACCGACATATCACTTCATAATTGTTTCTGCAATAGGAAGTCAATTAAGTTGCAGACGCAATTATGTAAAAACAACAAAAGCAAGCAAGCCAATATTTCTTTTCTTTAATTCGGTCTTCACCAAGTTCTCTCTCTCTCCTCTCTCTCTCTCTCTCTCTCTCTCTCTCTCTGGTTACTGATGATTGATTCACCAGTCAAATGAATAGGTAGCTGGGGAGCCGCTATTTCCTCACAAAATGACATGGTGGGAGGCAAGTCCTTAGCCTTTTGCTAGGTGCCAAAAGTCTTTCGGTTTGGGGTTTTACATGCATTATGGTTAAGTCCATGTAACACAGTACCAGGTAGTTTAATGTCATCTTCAGTTTGAGAAAATGTAAAAGCAAGCAGCTGGTGATTTGAGGTGGGTTTATAATTATGTTTGTATAACGTGTCGGCCTGATAATGGGGTATAATTGTTGTACCTAAGACTTTTCATCTAGGTAACAAGTTTTTGTCTCTTCTTGTTGGTTTTTTGACTTCTTTGCTTTAAATCCTGTCATGGTGGGTTGTTTTATAGCATCTTCTCCTAACTTTCCAAAAGGTTTCTCTTTGCAAATGAAAAAAAAGAAGAAAAAAAACATAATCTTCTACTATCCATATTAATTTAATTTGCCAGATGAATAATTGGTTCAAAGGAAAAAAAAAAGTACAGAAATTCCAATACTACAGCAGTGCAATATGTCAGGTACATGAACTCCCAAGAATAAAATTTGATTAGCAGGTGAGGATCCAAGGAGGTGCAGCAAGGAGACAAGGACAGGTATTGCAGATTTGTGGATAAAGAACACAAATCTGGTCCCACAATGGTCATCTACAACTAATAGAGATTCACCTAGAGGCTAAAGGATTTTGCACTTGATCATGTCCTGAAAATCTTCTTTCTTATTATAAAAAGATTACATGAACATTAATGCACATTGGGGATTCTTAATTTTGGTTCCTAGTGAGTTACAAGGAATGAGGGAAAAAAGCATAGTATAATATGTTACTCGTTGGATTAACCAAACCCAAGTGGATCAAATTAAACAAAAACCACTCAATTCTTTTCACTGGTTGTACTTCTGTTGGTGGACCACAACTTACTGAACATTCTTTTGGGTCTTGCAGGAAGCAAGCAAAGAGCTTTGAGCTTTGAACTTCTCCCAATTCCATCTGGGTTCAAATCATTTTCATCCAAATCATCGTCTTCGGCGAGCTTCATTCGTAAAGTAGACATCTTGGACCTGGGAGACTTGAGGCCTGAGACACTCCATTGGTCATCTGCTGGCATAATACTAGAGGTGCTTAAAGGGGCTGGAGGCCTTGATGGGTCAATGTTATGTGTGGCTAGAAGTGCCCTTATGTTGCTAGGCAGCTCGGTCACTTTGCCACCAGCCATGGCAGCTCGAGCTTGCTCAAAGAAAAGAACTTGGACCACTACCCTTAGTGGGAGTAGCTCATTTTGTGCAGCATGCATGCAGGCCTCCATTGAGAGCTTTTTGCAGTCTAGAATTCGACACAGCCTTTTCCTTTCACTCTTGTTGAGGTCTGGATGTGCCTGATATTTAGGCATAACGACTTTAATTAATATACATTGCTCAACATCAACAAGAGTAGTTGGCATATTCTATAATTCACTAATTTCTAAATCTTCATCACAACCTGTTCCAAATTAGAGCATGCACAGAGATTTAATAAAGAAAAATTAAGATTATGTCATTCAAAATGTGGACCACCTAATCCCAATTGGTAACCAGTTGTGAACTTGACAAGATTTTAAGGTCAAGAGAGTTGGTCATCTGCTGATAATGGTGACCCACATTCTGATATGTGACAGCTGAAATATACTCAGAAATCTAAATACAAAAAAAAACATGAACTATGGTAAATTTGAAAACCAGAATTTTGTTCTTATCACCTTGAGATAAATGTCAATTGCCCTGTAGAGATCATCGTGGTCAAGCCTTGCAAACTCTGGTATTGCCTCAGCAATTGCAATGAACTTTGACAGAGACAAATTGACATCCCTGCCAATTTCCTGAAGATACACATCCATAAGCTTTGCCACCTTCAGCTTTGAGCTATGTGCTGCTGAAGATGATCTTCGACTCTCCTGAAACTCAAAATCAATGTTCTCTGCTGACCGAGACCTTCTCCTTTCAAAACCAAGCTTGGACCTTGGAGGGCTAGTTGGGGGGCTCTGCCCCTGCAACAAGAACTGCTCCAAAATGGTCATAACTATGTCTACATCATATCGAGTGTCGGTTTCATATGACACAGAGGGTATTATCAAGTCACTGACGGTTGCATCCTCTAATTGAAGTCCAACTCTTCTAGCCAATTCCATTTTTGAAGAGGAAGAAGCATTAAGAATATTGGCTGCCTTCAAGAGTTTAAGCAGAAAACTAGTAGATGCAGCACCTTTCTCCGCTGGAACTAAGCTTACAATTGATTCCAAGATCAACCTATGCTTTGAAGTTAAATCATTGGCAGAGTCTGAATCTGAATCAGATGCTGCTTGTTTATGGTCACATCCATTTTTTGATATGTTGGGCAACCATTTAGCTGCATAGATTTTCAATGCATCTCCAATCAGATGAGACGGCATTTTCCCACCAGATTTAATAGCTATCATGGTTCTCCAATAGAGGTCTATGCCCAATTCTGCTATGTCTTCAGCCCACCATCCTCTGTTTGCAGGCTTATTATGCCTCTGGCTCTCTGCACCATTGCAGGACATGTCATCTCTACCCCTCCTGGAGTAACTATGTGACAAGCTAACCTTTGAAGGGTGTGTTAGGACTTTGGAAGCAATTGCCTCAATGCATCTTCTTGTGATTCCAAGGTCCTCTGACCACAAAGGAAAAGCCTTTGTGCTTTGTAGAGTGGCAATTGAGTCTCTCCACCCTTGGAGGATGCAAGAGTTGAAGAAAACCTCAAGCTTATAAATAAGGTTGCCCTTCTCAACATCCTCAGTCATCTGTAAGTACTCCGCGGCGCATCGAGAAGCTACAATGTTGTAGGCACTGAGGGTGATTGTGATGCCATAGCAGAATTTTGCACAGAGCTCAAATGCCTCAACCCCACTGGGAAAATCATGGAGCTGGATTATTTGGTGTTGTGAAGCTTCTTGATATTCAGAGCACAGCCTCTGCAGCCGCAAACACTTGGACAAAAGAGGAAACTGCGTGCCATGTGAAAATGAATCAATTTAAAGAAAAACTCATATGCACCATTCAATTGAATTGCATCATATATCAACTTGAACATATCCCATAATCAAAATTTGGGAGAAGTTCATTAAGTTTACCTTGTGAAGCAAATATCTGCTTCCCTTCACTTGAATTATAAGATCACTTGAAACTTCAGAGGAGACTGACCTGAATTCAGCAGGAAAAATAGAAAAATCTGTCAGTACCTTCATCAATGAATATAGGCATATCTAAAAAGTAACTTCATGTTCAATCAGATGTGTGCTCTTACCTTACGGCCTCAGTAGTGTAGAAAGTATCTGGCCGAGATCCAAGTTTCATAAACTTCATGATTGATTCTTTCTCCTTATTTGCTTCTTATGTGCACATCAGAAGCTCATTAACATAACTGAATTATATATCCCCAACTTCTTGATGCATAAAACACCAGGAGGCACACAAGCTTCTTCTTCCAGCAGCAAGCAAAAATGGAATAATTTTCCTGGATGAGGAGAGAGGATATCCAAGAACAAGGGAAAACCAAGAGCTCTTGCTGTTGTGGGTGTGATACTAAATGAGTTTTATTTATGTATATATATATAATCATCAGAAGTCGTCAAAATGACAAAAACTCAAGAGGATCAAACACACCAAAGCTCAGGTCCTATCAGTCAAATTCTATACCCCATGTGACTTGGACATGCAAACAAAGAATTAAAGTCACTGCAACTACAGCAGCTCTAAAACTAGTAGACACAATCAAATTTTGTTCAAACAAAAAAAATCATTCAACAAAAACTTAGCCCTGAAAGATTGTAAAATTGTGAACTTTGGGTTTTTGTAATAACTTGAATGAAAAATATGGTTTAAGTCCTCTCTCTCTCTCTCTCTCTCTCTCTCTCTAGCATGGCCATGCCATTGCCAGCGTGCAAATCAAAAGGAAACTCCCACGTGCTTCTCTCGAGCCCACTTGTGCCCTTCTCTCTCATGATTGCCACTGCATTTTTTTATTGCAAGCAGTAAGACCCCTCCTCTCCTTCTCTGATTATTTTTGTCAAACACTATTTTATACGCAGTATCGTATGTCTCCTCATTTCCCATTATTAATTTCTGAAAGGGAATATTACAAAAATTGAAAAGCTAAAGAGAAAATGTGTTTACACTTTTTATTTAAAAAAACAAAAAAAAACCTAAGAATACAATAAAGTAAAAGGGATGCCAAACGCATACAATAGGAATAGGATATGTGTATCGCTATCAAAGATAGGCTTTTGAGCCTTTTAACCATTCTCCACCCTACAGGCTCTACAGTAAGACTAATGTCAAAACTGCCCTTTTGTTCTGCTGCAATATCGAAACTATTCTTTTTTTTCTCATTTATGGCATATGGCCCCATGAGTGGGAAACTTTGAATATTATTGGTGTGACATGAAGAAAAAGATGCATGGATGATGTTAGAATGAGGCAAATGAAGGCTTTTTTTGGTCATAAACTAAACTTGCATTCATGTGAGGCGATAAATAATGCATTATTCTGGCAGTTGAAGGTCTTCTCTTCTTCTTCTTCCACATATTTCATTTTCACATGGTTTTGCGATATTTTCTTTTTGTTCATATGTAACTTCGATGCATGATGATCGTAACAATGAGGACTGACAGCAAAGCAGTAGGCCCCCATATTGTACGCATATGACTTCTGATCATATCGTTTTACCAAGTGGCCCCTTCATAGTTGAACTAAATCCAATAGAAAGTAGCACTGGTATTGTTCATCTATAAGGTTTTCTTTCTTCATATATTCATATCTTTTCCATCTATAAGGATGAGAATCGACCTCTTTTCTCGTGGACGTCACGAGTCTATGCGTTTTTTCACAATCATTAGTGGTTGTTTACTTGTAGAAGCCGAAAATCTGTTCCAATTAAAGGGAAAACAAACAAAAAGAAGATCGGTGAACTATATGTTGAAGAGAGATCGATTTTTCAAAACAAAAAAAATCCAAGGACTTGTCTACTTAAGTGTTTCACCATATTAGGGCATAATCACGGAGAGAATGAGACCCTTTTTATGTTATGTCTCGATCAATGTCCTCCAGATAACAGAACCTAAGCTTGTAATGGCTCGATCAATGCCTACCGTTTGTTTTTACTTTTGCCTTTTTTGTTTGGGACGTTTGATATATCCAGGGCAAATGCCAAATCTAGGGCAATTGGCATGCTTGATATTTTACGGGTAAATGGAGGGTAAGCTGTGGAATGAGACTGAGTGGTGTCGAATACAGGTAAAGGTCATTGTGGGCATAAGTTGATGTCCACACCTTACGTGAGAAAGAGGGTACACCACAAATGAAGTAATGGTCCTCGTCATGCTGCCCAACGGGGTGGCCAACCGACAGTACGGGACCCTCCCAGGGGCCCACATTCTCCCTATACTTCACTACTTCTTAGTCAGTGGGACCCTCCTAGTAGAAACTTGGGCCATTTACAGTTTGCATATACAATACAAGAGAACTGCAGTTGGCAACCAATTCTAATAGGCCTTTGGCAATATACTTGACCTCAATTTTGTATGTGAATGGAGATAAAGGTTGATTTATTACGGGACGATGCTTCCCTCCTTGCCCATAGAGAGGCTTTTCGCCACACTCCTTGCCCATTGATTTTCTTGTATGGTTTCCTCCACAAAAGTTACCAATAATTTCATCACCAACTGTTGGTAATGGTTATGGCGAAATAGTTTTATTTTCAATTTATGTTATTTGATAAATGTTTATATTGTCAATCTGAATTACATTTAATAAGATAATATACTGATATTATATACTTGGATATGCATTTCCCACGCGTAGGTAACGGTGAGGCTATATCCATGACTTTATCTAAGCTAGGATTCACAAGAAACACAAGGACCCCACAATTTGTATGCATAAAAATCATGTAATCAAAGTGAGAATTGATGAGAAGGGGCACCACAATCCCACTTTGGAAAAGCTGAAAGAGACTCTGGTCAGTGCACTTTGGGGGGGGGGAGGAGAAGACTGGTCCTTGCTGTAAATGTGAATGATACAATTCGTAGGGTCTCGAACACAAGAAGATTGTGGCACTAGAATCATATCTGGCTCAGTTGCATACGTACAAAACTTGAAGCCCCAAAAAAAGATGAATTCAAGTGACAGACAGTGATTACACAAAGCTACGTGACCTTTTTGATCTTTCATATTGGCCTAACAAACAAGGATTTCGTACCTCATCGCCATTTCCTTCCAGAGATCTCAAGGCTTTACCACGATTGGATTGATAGGCTGAGATCAGTTAATGTGTATATATCAAGTGCAGCTGTGGCCCTGCTTGACTGGTTATAATCAGTATGTCGTCTTGTCAAACTGTATGTCATTTGTTATAGCCCGCACTACAGTGCATGCATGGTTATTTTGTTAAGCCTAGCACTTCTCCAGCTAGCATATTTAGGAGTGTGGCCTAATTCGAAGTTATTTGTTTATTTGTTTCTCTCAGGGTATTAATTCATGTACATGATTTGCGTGATGATTCTGTCTCTTGCATATATATTTAATGGATCATCTTTTTTCTGTTTTTGAGCTTCAGCTTAATTATTTTTGTTTATATATATATATATATATATTTATATATATGTGACAGTTGATTTGCAGTTTGTCTGTAAGATCACGTTCATTATAATTCTTCCCCAAGTTGGTATTCTTTTAGGTAACTAATAATGGCAGAGACTCTCACATCAGAGAAACCCAAAAAAAAGCTAAATTCCAAAATGAAACAGTTAAGCATTTGAGGGATCCCACATGCATGGCTGTGCCAATAAGCAGCTGCAGCCTGCAATTATATGAGTTTTCGTACCAGTAGATTCTGTATCACAAATCTAAGACTGCTGTTCTGGCTCAATAATGAGACGTGAAAGCGGAAAACAGCAAGCACAAAACTTCAAATCAACATTGGTACTTATGGCCTGTCGTGACTGATTTTTGGGGTCTGAGGGGAAAAACTTACTTGCAACGAGAAATAATACCATTTTGTTATTTCTGATTAATAATATTATTATAATACGTGAAAGTGTTTTATAGCAGGGAGTAGATAAAAATGTTATCTCATTGCATGAAAGTGTTTTTCCTTCTTAAGATCTAGAGTTTATGCCCTAAAAAAAAATTAAAGTGGACCAAGAGATGTGCTGATGAACTTAAAGAAAACGAGGAGAATTTTCATGGGTTATAGTGTTCCCTTAATTCTCCAATGCTTTTTCATGGGTTATAATTAAAAACTGAAGGGTAGGGCCTAAGAATAATATAAAGTGCTTTGTTAAACATTTTGTCTTTGTTGCATTACAAATGTCAATTGGCACATTGTTCTACAAGGCCAAAACTAATCATGGTTTGCTTTGAACTATCTGTCAGAGGATCTACAAGATCATCATCAAAGTAAATGGAGGGTCAATGTGAGAAGATAGAGAAGATCAAAAAGGGTAAAATGCATGATAAATTAGGGCTATTTTATTATTATATGCATGTAATGAAAGTATCCAAACACCATCACCATGCATATATACTTAAGAGTTTGGTGTGTGGTTTTCAGTATATTATTAGGTGGTTTAATTAGCCTTTAGAGACAAGTAATGGCGGAAATGAGAGGGGGGATTAGTCAAAATCAAGAGCTTAAAAGCTTGAAAATCACAGTTGTAGTTGGTAAATGATGAGGGACATCTCGCTTCCCTAAGATACCCACCCTCCTCCATTTGTCAAAGATTCGCGTGCAAAGCATGTATGGGCAGGATGAGTGTGACATGACAAATGGTGTTTTTAGCTTTAGCATTTTATTGACCACGCAGAAAATTAAAACAGGAACAAAAGCTTCTGTTTATATGCATGAATAATTAGTGCTAATCCAAAATCATAAGACATAAGCATGCTTTTTCTCAAGGCTTTGCTATTTGACATGAAAGATATATGCATCATCACATCGATCCCATTTTTACAATTTCACACTCAAAAGACCCAATTAAAAATAAATTAATTCATTTACTTTTTCGCATAGTTGTTACTTGGATCGAATAAATGTCTTTTCGTTTGACTAATAATTTCTTTTGTTGTATATAGGGGTACAAAGATTTAGGAGTTGTTTGCCCTAAGCCATTCATAGATCGACAAAATTCCAGTCAGCTAAAGCAGATTAGTAAAGCAGCAACCTACTTGTTTAGGTTCCTTGATAACCTAATCAATTGGAAATGACCCAATTACTGTAATGTACAACCGGGAAGTTAAATGAAACAACGACGAAAACTCATAAAAGAGAAATTGATCAAAGGCATTAGCGAGATTTAAATTAATTT